GATTTGTTTGTACAGTGTGTGAACATTCTTTGTTTTTGCCTTTTTCTTGTGCAGGGCGCGTGCTTTGCATTATCTGTTTTTGCTCTGTGCAGGGCGTGTGAGCTGCATTCGTTGATTTTGTTTGGCAGAGAAGGGAGATGAAGGAGGGGGTGGGAGGGAGATGAGGGAGGGAGGGATGGAGGGAGGGAGGGAGGGAGGGAGGTAGGGAGGGAGGGAGGGAGGGAGGGGGGGAGGCAGGGGTGTAGGGAGGGTAAGGGGTGATTGGCTAGTGATTATTTATTAATAGCTGAATTTCATGATGGTTGGGTGTTGACTATCCGTATGTATCTGTGCTTGTTTGCGTGCGTGTCAGTGTGTATGTGAGTGTGTGAGCCTGTGTGAGATATGTATGTGCAGTCTTGTTGTTTGTATCGTTTTGTGTCTGTCTCAAGGCGTGTGCTGAAGTGCCTCGTGTATGCAACTCAGGTTGTGATCGCCGATGGGGCAATAGCCTTAGCGTGCCAGACCAACCTTTGTTGCATCATCGATGCATTCTAGCATTCTCCCCAAGACACTCATTATTGTTATGCGTTGTCGTCGTTGTACCAGTACAATGTCGCATGTGCTTGTTCGTGTTTGTTGTAAGGTGTCATGTTAAAGTGTGTCAGGTCTGCAATTGAGGTGGGGATCGTTGTTGGGGCAGCGTTGCTCGCCTTAGCATACCGGATCCATCGTTATTGTAGCACTGATGCATTTTGCCATTCACTTTATGACATTTGCTGTTGTTGAGTGTTGTCGTTTTTGCACATGTTCGATACGGTAGATGCAAATACGGTACCGCAATTTGCATCCACGTCGAATTTGTTGTATCGTCAATTGTGTGATGTACCGTAAAATATGGAGAGGCTACCAATTGTTTCCATTCGCCGTATTTATCGACGATTATGGAATAGTTGGTCTCATTTGGTTTCACCTTTTTTGGGAGACTCTTGTGTAGCAGTGTTGTCATCTCCACACATTTGAAGCACACGTTCTCAAAACGTTAAAGCGAGTGCTTCAGACGTTGGGAAAATGACAAAAATGTGCACTGTTCATTCGAGTCGACCGAAAAAGGTGCTACCAAATGTAAAGGGGTTGCTACGCAACCCAAATGTAAAGGGGTTGCCTCTTTTACCGATGACTTTTTTGGCAGTTGCCCCAACTTCCAGGTTTTGTTCGGCTCCAAGCAGCTTCAATTTGTTGCACCTTGTTGCAACAAACCCCAACCTTCACCTCCCTCCTTGCCTCTCACAACCACCACCCATCTAGCCAACCACCACGATATCCTGTTTGTTTTCTCGCCATCGCCTCTCCCTCTCACACCGCCGTTGCCTCCTTCTGCCACCCCACCTTCTCCCTCCTTTCCCGCCATCGCCTCCCTCATAGCCTGCTGTCGTATCCCTCTTAGCCTGCCGTCGCCCCCCCCCCCCCCTCCCATCCCACCGTCGCCTCCCCCGCTCATCCCGCCGTCGCCGCTGACAGTAGCTGCAGGAGCGCGAGCTGGTGGGCGAGCGCGAATCGACCTCTGAGGCACCATGATTCTCAGGTGCGTTGTCCTTTCCCGGTCCATTTCTCCTCCTCCTCTCTGAAAAAATAATTTACTTTCGTACATTCTCAAGTTCTCTGCCTGTCGAGATCTCCTTTTGCATTGCAATACCATTTGAAGAGAGGGACAGAGGGAGAGCGAGTGAGAGAGTTTGCACGGGAACTAGCACGCTGGCGCGTATAGCGTTGGCGCCTAACTCGCTGGCGCTTAGCGCTGGCGCCCAACGCGCTGGCGCTTAGCGCACTGGCTGTTTGCGCGCTGGCGCCTTGCGCGCTGGCGCCGTGCGCGCTGGCGCCTTGCGCGCTGGCGCCTTGCGCGCTGGCGCCGTGCGCGTTGGCGCCGTGCGCGCTGGCGCCGTGCGGGCTGGCGCCTTGCGCGCTGGCGCCTAACGCGCTGGCGCCTAATGCGCTGGCGCCTTGCGCGCTGGCGTCTATGCGCGCTGGCGCTGTGCGCGCTGGCGCCGTGCGCGCTGGCGCCGTGCGGGCTGGCGCCTTGCGCGCTGGCGCCTAACGCGCTGGCGCCTAGCGCGCTGGCGCCTAGCGCGCTGGCGCCTACCGCGCTGGCGCCTTGCGCGCTGGCGCCTAACGTGCTGGCGCCTAGCGCGCTGGCGCCTTGCGCGCTGGCGCCTTGCGCGCTGACGCCTAGTGCGCTGGTGCCTTGCGCCTTGGCGCCTTACGCGCTGGCGATTAGCGCTCTGGCGCCAGGAGGCCGCGTGAGAGGCCATGTGAGAGAGCGCGTGAGGGAGAGCGTGAGAGTGCGCGTGAGAGTTCGCGTGAGAGTGCGCGCGTGAGAGAGCGCGTGAGGGAGAGCGTGAGAGTGCGCGTGAGAGTTCGCGTGAGAGTGCGCGCGTGAGGGAGAGCGTGAGAGTGCGCGTGAGAGTTCGCGTGAGAGTGCGCGCGTGAGAGAGCGCGTGAGGGAGAGCGTGAGAGTGCGCGTGAGAGTTCGCGTGAGAGTGCGCGCGTGAGAGAGCGCGTGAGGGAGAGCGTGAGAGTGCCCGTGAGAGTTCGCGTGAGGGTGCGCTCGTGATAGAGCGCGTGAGGGAGAGCGTGAGAGTGCGCGCGTGAGAGAGCGCGTGAGGGAGAGCGTGAGAGTTCGCGTGAGAGTGCGCTCGTGATAGAGCGCGTGAGAGTGCGTGAGAGCGCGTGTGAGAGCGCGCGTGAGGGAGCGTGTGAGAGTGCGCGTGAGGGAGCGTGTGAGAGTGCGCGTGAGAGAGCGCGTGAGAGTGCGCGGGAGAGTGCGCGCGTGAGAGTGCACGTGAGAGAGCGCGTGAGTGTGCGCGTGAGAGCGCGCGTGAGCGAGCGCGTGAGGGAGCGCGTGAGAGTGCGCGAGAGAGTGCGCGTGAGAGTGCGTGTGAGAGAGTGTGTAAGAGTGCGCGCGTGAGATAGTGTGTGAGAGAGCGCGTGAGAGTGCGCGTGAGAGTGCCCGTGAGAGAGCGCGTGACAGTGCGTGTGCGCGTGAGAGTGCGCGTGAGAGGCCGCGTGAGAGGGCAGGTGAGGAAGCGCGTGAGAGAGCGCGTGAGAGGGCGCGTGAGAGTGCGCGTGAGTGAGCGCGTGAGAGTGCGCGTGAGTGAGCGCGTGATAGAGCGCGCGAGTGACGCATGAGGGAGCGAGTGAGAGAGGGCGTGAGAGTGCGCGTGAGAGTGCGCGTGGGAGTGCCCGCGAGAGTGCGCGTGAGAGTGCGCGTGAGAGAGCGCGTGAGGGAGCGCGTGAGAGAGCGCGTGAGAGTGCGCGTGAAAGTGCGCGTGAGAGTGTGCGAGAGAGTGCGTGTGAGAGAGCGCGTGAGAGAGCGTGTAGGTTTGTGTGTTTCTGAGAGAGTGTCTAAGAAAGTTGAGAGTCTTTGTGTGTCTGTGTGTGAGTGGGTGCAAGATTGAGTGAGTGCGAGCGTGATTGTGAAGTTGAACGTGAGGGTGGCTGCAATGTATTGCATCATGTTGGCGTAGTACTGTGGTGCCACACCATTTTACCTCTGTGAGTTGTCAAACTTTCCACTGCTTGTCAAGTTTCCTGCTTGGCCTCCTCGAAGCATTATGCGTTTTATTGATTTGTTTGTACAGTGTGTGAACATTCTTTGTTTTTGCCTTTTTCTTGTGCAGGGCGCGTGCTTTGCATTATCTGTTTTTGCTCTGTGCAGGGCGTGTGAGCTGCATTCGTTGATTTTGTTTGGCAGAGAAGGGAGATGAAGGAGGGGGTGGGAGGGAGATGAGGGAGGGAGGGATGGAGGGAGGGAGGGAGGGAGGGAGGTAGGGAGGGAGGGAGGGAGGGAGGGGGGGAGGCAGGGGTGTAGGGAGGGTAAGGGGTGATTGGCTAGTGATTATTTATTAATAGCTGAATTTCATGATGGTTGGGTGTTGACTATCCGTATGTATCTGTGCTTGTTTGCGTGCGTGTCAGTGTGTATGTGAGTGTGTGAGCCTGTGTGAGATATGTATGTGCAGTCTTGTTGTTTGTATCGTTTTGTGTCTGTCTCAAGGCGTGTGCTGAAGTGCCTCGTGTATGCAACTCAGGTTGTGATCGCCGATGGGGCAATAGCCTTAGCGTGCCAGACCAACCTTTGTTGCATCATCGATGCATTCTAGCATTCTCCCCAAGACACTCATTATTGTTATGCGTTGTCGTCGTTGTACCAGTACAATGTCGCATGTGCTTGTTCGTGTTTGTTGTAAGGTGTCATGTTAAAGTGTGTCAGGTCTGCAATTGAGGTGGGGATCGTTGTTGGGGCAGCGTTGCTCGCCTTAGCATACCGGATCCATCGCTATTGTAGCACTGATGCATTTTGCCATTCACTTTATGACATTTGCTGTTGTTGAGTGTTGTCGTTTTTGCACATGTTCGATACGGTAGATGCAAATACGGTACCGCAATTTGCATCCACGTCGAATTTGTTGTATCGTCAATTGTGTGATGTACCGTAAAATATGGAGAGGCTACCAATTGTTTCCATTCGCCGTATTTATCGACGATTATGGAATAGTTGGTCTCATTTGGTTTCACCTTTTTTGGGAGACTCTTGTGTAGCAGTGTTGTCATCTCCACACATTTGAAGCACACGTTCTCAAAACGTTGAAGCGAGTGCTTCAGACGTTGGGAAAATGACAAAAATGTGCACTGTTCATTCGAGTCGACCGAAAAAGGTGCTACCAAATGTAAAGGGGTTGCTACGCAACCCAAAAACAAAATGGTACACCAAATGTGTCCCCAACCACTAAACTAAAGTTGTGAATACAGTTAGGTACCGCACTAAACGAATCAGTCTAAGTGAAGGTTCTTTAATTCCCAATCGGTTTTGTCACTTCGTTCACTCGCCTTCGCTCTTACGCAACCTTTATCGAGCGCAGAGGACGGAGTGCAGCCAATTATCGGTGGATTGCCTGGCCTTGACCAAATAATTCCGTTGACGCTAATCCAGTAGATCGGCGCTCGCCCTGCAAGCTCACACAATGAGCCTCACTCGCCAGTCAATTGGCCTTTACCGTCGGCTCCTACGCACCGCGAGGAGCTGGCACGGCTCTGCAGAAGAGCGGACGTATATCAAGGTGCGGCATGGCGCCATGGTCTAGCGTGGTCGAGTTTCTCAACAAAAATAGTTCCGAGCCCTAAATCTGATCGTTTCGGCGAGACGTTTGTGTGACCCTTCTGCTTCGTTTAAATGCCTCTAGCCACAACCCCTATTGCACGCATCCCGTGCTGCCCGTTTAGGAGGAGAGTCGGCGAGCGTTTGAGAGCAACAGACACATCGAGGATAAGGAGCGCATCCGGGAACTGGTGAGAGTTCAGTCAATGTCTAGTAATTTGGTTCATCCAGCAGCAGGTTAGTGCATTCAACGTCCTGTTGATATGGTACAGATAGTATCTTTTAATGCATGTTAATGGATTGGGAGATTAAACATGGGTATGGAGATGCTTGTTTGGCTTGATGCATAAGCTGGTGCCCTTTTTGTTGAACATGGTTGACTTCTTGCAAGTTGAATGATTAAAAGTTGCCTGCCTGTTAAATCTTAGAATGGTCAGTGTTGGTTGGTACTTCCTCTGCATGTTCAGAGCATGCCATATGCATGCTCTGTGTCGCTAGGCTAACCTAACCCGCACATCACATGCTAATTCGTAATATATATTTATTTTCACCCATGGTACACACACACGGCAAGGAGTAACATCAGTTGGAGGAGGGCGAGGCACGTCGGCAGATGGCGGTGCATTATGGCATCCCGTATCCACGCTTGCACAACATGCCAACTGGCGCTGTCAGCTCCAACAAGGCGCAGGTTTGCTGCGGCCCTCGTCATTCTCCACATGATGTATCAATGCGGCCGAAACTACTGCTAGTACCGTATCTCGTTCGTTGCTCTCGTTCCTTGATATTCCCATATACGGTAGCTGCTGTCGAGGTGGCTGCGGGGGTCGTTGTCACGCCATCCCTTTCAGTCTCTCCCATAGGCACCATTCTTCATCCCACTTCGCCTGGTTCAAATCTTATTTCTCGCTCCCTTGACTCGCCTAATTTCTTGCCTGCCCTTCCCTTCCTTTCTCTTCAATTCCGCTCCCCCTCTCCCCCCGCCCTCTCCCCTTACAGTTTGTGGTCCCCACATCCATGTCAGCAGTGTACCAGGGTGAGAAGGACACAGACTACACCCCGCAAGCCTCTGCGTCTCGCTGAAATTCCGAACCCTTATATAGGTACTATCACGACTGGCAAACGGGAAGTGAACCTGGAGCTCCACCTGCCCCATACTCTAGGTTGCGTTCAGGTCAGGCAGAGGAAATGGCAATGTGGACATACATTGCATTGAAGCCAGAAAAGAGATGAATACGATTCGGCTGTTCATCTAGCAGGAGATAAACCCTGCGGCCCTATACCTGCAGCCACATGGTAGTACCGTAAGTAGGAGTTCCTGCTGGGTCAACATGAGAAGGGAGGGAGTGTGTGTGTGTGGTCCCTTTTTAATGTGATTTTCCTTGGCCAGAGTGGTAAGAGGACCTGGTTTTTTATTTTCCTTGGCCAGAGTAGCAAGAGGACCTGGTGTTGCTGGTTTATTAGTGCATGTGCTGACTAGAATGTTAGCTGCTGATTGGGATGACAAATTTACTCCTACTTGCTGAAAGTACAGTAAATACAATGACAGGTCTATACAGTTTGGAAAAACGCTGTTGTCCAGATGCACAAATAAGCATGCCATTTCATTCTTCAACTTACAGACTTTCCCTACACAGCAAACGGCCATCCACGCTGCTGTTCCATACGGCAAACGCCACGCGCATGCACCTTTGCCTTATCACTCTTCCTCCGACACCAGCCAGTCTCAATACCAGTATCGGTATCAGTGGGAAGCAGAGCCACGCCGTGGAAAATCACACATCCCCACCCCCTCGCCCGAGCACCACGTCCTCGAAGACGCACACCGTTACCACTAGAGGCATGTTTTACAGCCAGCCTGAGGGCCTTGCGGGCCTCCAATGCTTTTAGCGGGAGCTCCAGTTGGGGTAGACGCCTGTTGAGGGGCCACTAAACTTGTCGATGTCGCAACAGCATGTTCACTCACAAGTCACCACCTCACCACCTCCTCACCACACGCCAGTACCACTGGAGGCATTCTTCAGCCAGCCCGCTGCAACGCTAGAGCGGAAGCTCCAGTTGGGGTAGTCGTCGGTGCGGTTGAGCTTGAGCGACCAGAAGTACCACCCGCCCCTGGCCTGCCCAAACACCTCCCTCTGGGTTTCTGCGAACTTTTTGACATCGTCCTGAATGTGAGGGAGTTGAGAAGGGGACAGGGGAGTGGGGGATTGGGGACAAGGAAAGGGGTGGGAGAAAGCCACAAAGAAAGCCACAAAGAAAGCCACAAAGAAAGCCACAAAGAAAGCCACAAAGAAAGCCACAAAGAAAGCCACAAAAAAAGCCACAAAGAAAGCCACAAAAAAAGCCACAAAGAAAGCCACAAAAAAAGCCACAAAGAAAGCCAGAACATTCTGGGCTATTGGGAGGAAGAGGGAAAGAGGTATGGGAAGCGGAAGGGCAAGGGTAAGAGCAAGGGGAGGGAAAAAGGGAAGGGGAAGAGGAAGGGGAAGGGGAGGGGAATGGAAAAGGAAAGCGTGAGAGACTTACATCAGAGTTGTTATCAGTTGGTAGAGCGAGTGACCACTCCCCCACCATGGCTAGCCGATTGCCCTCCTGATACTGCTTTATCTCCGCTGACCGCTGCCACATGGGGAGGGGGATGGGGCGGTAGAGGAGATGGGGCAGAGGCCGGAGAGGACAGATTGAGGCAGTTGGGACAAGGACTGTCGGTCCCTCCCATACCTACATGCGGCTCCCATGGCACTCATGTTGAGTGTGAGGAAGTGCAGGTTATCTCGAGCGAGCTCTGAGAACTCCAGAAAGCAATACAAGACTAGCTGGTCTCTCCGATGCGACCCCCATGCGACTTCCAGCCCCCATGCCACGACACTCACGTTGACAGTGAGGAATTGCAGGTTCTGCTCTAGAGACATCTGCTCTAGAGACATCTGCCGATGGTTCTGAAACGGTGAATAGCGTGTTCTGGATCTTTTACCGTGGTAACTGGATTCGGAACAAATGCTTGGCGACGTTTATTTCAGTGTGGTTTGGTGGTTGTGGGCGAGCGAGGACAACACAGAAGTTGAACCTCTCTGTGCTGTATCGGTTGTATGGTATATAGTTCGTTTCATAGGATGCTGTGATGGTACGGTACGATAACGTACGGTTCTAAGCTATTGGCTGTATGTAACTTGAACTAGGCAAAGTCGGTGCGGCGCGGTGTGCCATGAATGGTTCGTGGAAGGCGTGTGACGAGGCGGGGTGGTCTGGCCAAGCCAGTGACCTAACAGCCTGACGTGTGAACAGTGTAGATCGGTCTTCATGTCGGCGCTGCGGCTGGTTTGGCCCCGTACCGAATCCCGAGTCGCAAAACGAATGTCGAAAATATGTGCTCCGGTATAGTGATCGTCATAATCGACAATTGCAGCTTTTGTACGGTTTGTGATTCTAAAACCTAATATGCATACATGGCCTTCACTGGTTTAAAAACAAATCTGACAATCTCCTAGACCCCGAGCACACAAGGATTGAATGGAGATGTGCACCATGTTGGGCTGAGAAAAGCCCTTAGGATCTTTGCAGGGCTAAACTCTGGTAGGACTTGTTGTAATAGCGGAAGCTTAATGAGAAGTGTTTGAACCACCTTGCGCTAGTATGTGAGGGCAAAGTAGATTGATTAAAGCAAAGAGATACAAGATTATATAAGAGTACAAGGAATACGAAGAGATACGGTTGTAACTATTTTACTGTTGCTGTTGCGGTTCGATACAGTGACGACTCGGGCAACTGCTCTGTAGCGAGTCAGTTGTGTGTCCTTGCTGTCGCGCTGTACTCTGTCAGGTCAAAGGTCGCTGACCTTTGGCTTTCGCGTAACCTCCAACAGTTGTTTTCAACCTCCGAGGGTTGACTCGCTGGTGCTTCGATATGCTTCGCTTCGTTTGTGCCTTAGTGTTTTGACACGACAGAGGCGCTTAAGATCGATTGTTTCCAACACACCATTAATGCCGCCCCTCTAACCATGCTTAACTCTACCTGTGATAACATTTATTGTTTTCTATCGAACCTATCCCCCTATGCGTGAGAGGATAAGAAGCCCAACCACAGAAAGGCAGATAGCTCCGAAGGTCCCTGCAACAAGAGCAAAAGCCAAGAACTGGTTGGGGAGGTTGAGCTTCTCCTGGAACTTCTTCAACGCCTTGTCAATAAATGGAGCCACGGCTGCAGCCCCTGCCACTCGAAATGGCCGCGTCACATTATTCCCCGTCCACATCAGAACCACGATCTGCATATCACATGAAAGTAAAGGAAACAGGGAAATGAAAACGAAAGGAAAAGAAAAAGGAAAAGGTGGTGAATTCAACCAATCCCAGACAGCAGACGGACAGGAAACCAGTGCACCGAGCCCATACGCTCAAATACCGGGGCAAACAAACAGACACAAACAAGGACACAGACAACAACCACCACCACAACAACAACAAAACAAACCATTCAACAGACTCAGATCTGATCACATCACACAGAAACCCACGCACCCCAAGAAGCGCCTTGAGGTTGGCAGCGGGGTTGAGTCCGGTGCTCTTCTCATAGCCGAGGAAGGCGAGCACAAAGAAGGTGGTGTAGGTGACGCCGTCAAACAGCCCGTACGCCAGCACCGCCGCCAGCCCCAGCTTCGCCACCTTCTCCTTGAGTCCCGCCGACCGCGCCTGCACGCACACAGGCAGGCAGGCACACGCACGTGACACGGCACGGCACGGCACGGCAGGAGGAGGAAAAGGCTTTGAGTCGCCTGAAAACGCTTCGAGCGTGGTGGCAGGCAGGCGCAGGAGGCAGGTGACGGGGCAGGAGGAAGAGTTTCTAAGTGACGGTGGAAAAAGGAGAGTGGAGGGGGGAGAGAGAAAGGAGAGGAGGTGCGGGAGGGAGGAAGGGGGGAGGGAGGGAGTAGGGCAGTGCTGCTCCTCACTCTCTCACTCACCACCCCCTGCACTCGCCATACCACTGAGAATTCTCAAAAGTGAATCCTCGAATTACTCATTGCCTCATGCACTTGGCACGCCACAGTGCCCACCCGCTCACTCACCTTCCAACTGTCCCACCAGCTGCCAGAGGACTCGTCCGCTGCTGCTGCTGCTGCCGTCGCAGGAACCTGCCAGAGCCAGAATCGCGCATGGGGATGGATGAGATGAGCGAGAGGCGCAGGCAGCAAGCATGCCGCGGGGATAGGCAGATCGGTGAGAGCGGGGAAAGAGCGGAAGACGGGGAGCAGCAAGAACCACGGCGAGCGAATGGAACTGTCAGCACATCACGTAGGAAAGAAGCACGATTTTTTAGACGCCGCAGAAACCATTGCGTAGGGAAGGAAGGCTGTACCGGGATGGCTGCGTCCGGTTTCGCCGCGTCCCCATCCGCCGGTCCCGCCGCCCCCGACGCCGCCGCAGCCGCTACCAACGCGAGCGACGCCGCGCCGGCAATGAAGCGCGCGCCCCGGAACGCCTTTGCGACCGCGGAAGCAGCGGATGCGGGGGAAATAGCATCTGCGCACGCCGGCGCAAAGGGCTCGGCTGGCGGAGAGGAGCGCAAGCTGGCCCGCAGGGAAGCGGAGGCGGGCTGTTTTCGGCGCTGTTGCTGCAGCTGCTGCGGAAAACTTCCGCCGGAGGAGAAACTGGCGGTAATTCCGCGGGGAGCGCGAGCGGAGGCGCAGCGCAAATGGGTAGGCGACGCGAGAGCATGGGCGCGGGCGGAGGGGTGCAGCGCGGGTCGCAGTGGCACGCGCAGAGCGCAGTCACGGCTGCATGCTGAAGCGGCTGGGCCCGCCGAAACCCCCATCATGACTGCGACTATGCGGGCCTGATTCGCGGTGGCGGCGAGCGCGGTTTGTGGCGGTTCCAGCGGTTCCGGCGGTTGCGGTGGTGGCGGCGGTGGGAATGGCAAAACCGGAAACTTCTAGCGGCAAAACGAAACGCGCAGCGAGGGATTGGCTGGGGAGGGGTCGGGATAGGGGTGCTGTGGGGCAAGCAGAGCGGTATTGCAGTTCTCGGTATAGCATTATGTTTTGGCCTTGCAGTACACAAAGCCGAACCTGCATATGAACTCTAGTACACAGAATCTAATTTAATGCCCAATTTTTACAAAAACAATAATTGATGACACCGTACGGTGTGAAACAACTTTCTATGCATTTTCTCCACCTTGCCCATCCCTCGCACACCCCAAGCCCCTGCCAAATAATCACCGCACTCCACCTCTCCCATCCGTCTCTCTCACCTGCCAAATAATCACCCCTTCTCACCAGCGCCATTGACTTCCCTTGCCATCCTCTCATCTCATCATCATCCCTTTTAATACTCGCTTTCGTATGCAAGCAGCAGAGCCTGGCCCTGCGTTTGCACCGGAGCCGGCATTTGTACCTAGCCCTGCATTTGCATGTGGGCGTGGATCTGTCCCTGGGATAGTGACAGGGACAGGGCCTGGGCTTGAACCTGGTCTGGATCTGAGACCTTGTAGCTGCATCCGTGGACACTGAAGTCAACTCGCTGCCTCCTCTTCAGCCTCATGTGCACCACGATTCCTTTCATCACGGCCCCTCCTCTCCGCCTCCACCTCCTCACCTTCCCACCTCCTCTACCTCCTCCATCTCCTCTCACTTCTCACCGTTTCCCTCCTCACCTCACCCTCTCCTTGTATTCTTAGGAACTCGAGCTCGCAAGTTGCAACCCCCTTCTGGCGACCCCTTGACACTTCATTCTTCCCTTATTTTGCCGTCTTCTTCCTCGTCATCATCCACATCAGCCCCTCCTTCCCCTTCATTACCACCTTCCTCACCTCTAGTAGTAGTAGTATTATTCTCATGCAAGCCCTGCTTCGTTTCCCCCTCCTCCTCCTCCTCTGCTGGATCATTCCTGTCATCACCCCTTGCAGCGGCCTCCTCCACTCTACCCTCCCCTACCCCCCCCTTCCATTCCTCCCTCTCCTCGTCCTCCTTCCCTTCCTCCTTTTCGTCCTCCTTTCCCTCGTCCGTCCCTTGCACCTTCCCTTCCTCCCTCCCTTCCCCCTCTTCATCCTCCTTCCCTTCCCCTTTTTCTTCCTCCTTCTCTTCCCCCATTTTTACCTCCTTCCCTTCCTCCTCAACCTCCCTCACTACTCCATTCACAGGGCTACTCCCCTCGTCCTCATCATCAGCATATATTTTCTCCCCATCACCATCACCACCACCACCAATGCCAAAGCTCCGAACATCCTCATTGTGCTGCTCTCCAACCACCACCACCGCTTCTCCAACATCAGCATCCAAACTCTCTGCCTCTGCCGACACTGCTGACGTTGCTGCTGCTCTCCCTCCACCTGTGCGCTCGTCTCTTTCATCTCCTTCCACCTCCATGCCTTGCATCCTCCCTCTATTCCTCTCCTTTCTCCTCTCACGAATCCTTCTCACTCTCCGCTTCTTCACCCTCTTCCGCCCTTCTCTCCATGCCTTTGTCTTCTTTTTTGAACCTTCCAACACTCCTCGCTCCCTTCCTCCTGCTACTCCTCCTACCCTTCCTCCTCCTCCTTCTTCTTCTCTTTCCCTTCCCTCTCCCTCCTCCCCTTGCCCAGTATCTTTCTCCCCAGTAGCATCCACCACACGCACTCCTTCCTCTGTCACTCCCCCTTCACCATTCACTCGACCCACAAAAGCTCCACTCCCTGTCTCTTCCCCTCTCGTCTCCTCGCGGCCAAGCTCCCTCGGTGGCAGCACTTCATGCGCACGCCCTCCTCCTAACCTTACCACCGGGGTATTACTGCTGACGTTACTGCTGTCATCGGAGCCGTGAGCAATCTTTGTACTTTCGATGTCAGCTGTGGTGGTGTCTTCAATCCCGGCTGCTGCTTGCGATGTTGCAGCGCTGCTGCCTTCTCTCGTGGAAGGGGCTGGCAGAAAAGAGACCCCAGCGGCTGGCTCATCTGCTGGGAAGAGTGTGGACGCTGGGAGGGGAGGGGGCAAATGTGAGACGCTGGGAGAATGGACGATAGGCGGGCGGGCAAGAGGAGCAAGGCAGCACGTGGTAACACAGAGGGAGAGAGACAGAGTGAGTTCGTGTGTGAGAGGAAGGGAGGGGGGCCACAGTGAACGCAAAACATCAGGGGGATGGCAAAGAAACGGGTGAGAAACCTCACCTGGCAAAACTCGAGGCAGGTTGGGGAGTAACAATTGTTTCTGCAGGTTTGGTTGGGAAAGGGAGGGAAAAGAAGCGAGTGAAAATGGTCGACTGGGTACGGAAATGGGCACCAGGAAGAAACGGGATGAACAGCACGAAACGAAGGAATGAGATGATGGGTAGTCAAATTGTTTTGAGGACAAACTGAGGGAATGTGGTACAGCGACTAGTCATGAGCTTTTGCCACTCTTCATAGCTCAACATACTTGCACTGGCTGCTGCTGCTGCTGGGAGGGGGCCGAAATTAGCGAAACATTGGCAGGGTTTGCGGAGGAGCCTCGATGTAGGTTCTTAGGTACTTCAGCTGCCAGCGACGCGCTTCGGCTGCGAGACGTTGCCTGCGGAATGGACGCGGGTTTCAGCAAACAGAACGTACGGGGCGGTCAGTTTCTTCTAGTATGAGCGCGACGGTTCAAGTTGTCCGGGGGAATGCTGCATTCTGCCGTTATTCACATCAGTTTTGAGTGAAAAACACGACCTGGCCGCATTCGCGTAAGCAACACTAGCCGTGGTAGAAACAGGACGAAGTACGGCAGAGGACTGCTTACTAGCAGGTGTATGAAGGCCGCGAGCAGTACGAGGAACACGACTGCTCGCACGGCCTTGAGCTGAGCGCTTCGCCTCCGCAGTGCTGCACGGCTCGACGCTCCACCAGCCCCGAGGCCCTGCGGCTGCCGTGTAATGGCGACGGGCGGCACCACCCGACTCATGCCCAAATTGTTGAAATTGTGTTTCTCTGATTGGCATTGAAAATATAATGTTGTCACGTCAATGGTCGGCGTACAGTCATGGCATTTTCATGTTTAGGGTTGTCACTGACTGGTTGTGGCAGCTACAATAGAACCCCGCGTTATTTGGTTTCTTGTACCATCCATTTGCAATATCATGGGCAGTTCATGTTAATTCGGAAATCCAGCGTTAACTTACGACGTATGCATTTCGTGTCATGATGTAGCTGCTACATCCAGAGCCATTGGTAAAAAATGAATTCACTATGTTCATATCATTTCTAGATACACATTACTATTCCATTTACTTGACGGGGTAGGGCAGGTCCAGAACGTAGAGCAGGATGTATGCCCAGGCGACACCCGACAGGCCACCGAAGAAGAAGCCGCCAGCGAATGAAGCCCAGCCGTCAGCAGTCTGCAATATCACCCAGAACGGCAGCATCAGCATATGCAGAATCGAAGTTAATTTGCACAAAAACTAAAACATCAGAGATATTGAAGTGGACTAGCAAGGAACTGATGAATACCTGGAGCTTGTCAGCCTCCTTCGTGCGGCCGCTGAGGGTCAGAGTGGAGCCGGTGGAGGGAGCACCCTCCTTGAACGAGGCAATGCCGTACACGGTCAGGCACATGGACAGGATGGCGACCAGAGCAGCAGCGCCGAGGGTACCGGCGACTTGGCCAACCTCAGTGCCGCGGAGAGGACCAGTCTGCAGGTAGACAAGTAATGAGCGGAGTACAAATTAGAAAACAAATAAGACGCAAGATTCAAAATTACCATGCAAACAGCAAACCGGAACGCAAACTTACGCAGACGAAGGGGCCGACGAGGAGGTAGCCGTGAGCAAGGCCGACCTCGACACCGCGGAGGAGGGGGTTCACACCAGTGCGGTAGCCGGGGAGGTTCGACAGGAACCAGGCGACCAGGGGAGCAGAGGTCACGGGGGTCTCGAGGCCACCGACGAAGGGGTCGCCATTGAGGGGCTCAATGACCTGGTAGTTGGTCTCAGCCTTGACGGCCAGGGACTTCACCACGGGGGTGGAGCGGCGGGCAACGGGTGCCAGACCAGCAATGTTGCCGAAGAAAGCCCTCTTGGTCTGAGCCTTGGCAACGGCAACAGCCGGAGCGGCAAGGAGAGCACGGCTAGCGACGGCAGCGGCCATGGCTGAAGGCTTGAGGGATTTTCAGGAAGGGTTTGGGATCCTGAGGTTCCTCTGGTGGCGAAGTTCACAGATTGGCCTTGCTGAGCGTAAAATTGGTTCCTGGGTTTTCCCTCTGAGCAGCCCTCCCTGGTGCGAGGAGTGTCTGGGTTCCCCGATCAAATGCTGACCAGGCACTGCCTTATCCGCTGAAGCGATCTTGTCGCCTATGCGGAATTTTGAGAACGAATCAGGTGCCGTCGTCTCCACCAATCCGTTTCGCCGAATGCCTGGGTGACTGGATTCACCACGGGCTTGCGATGCGAAACTGACGCGAATTGGAAGGGTGTTCTTGAGACGATACGCTTGTGACCAGAGCTTTTCTGAATAAAGAATACCTACATTCAAATACAGAAATAGTTCTTAGTGCAAAACTTGGAAAACAATTGCAAGCTATATAGCTACAATTTTATCGATATTTCATTTAATAATAGTTCTAGTTTTTAATATAGTTGTTTCCAGCTCACATGGGTATGTATATTTCCATATTTCTAGTTGCCTCAAATTTATTTCATTTTGATGTGAAAACATATCCCAAGTACTATAGGTAAATATATATTAACTATAAATATCCCATGTTTGTTATATTATATTGGTGCAAAGACTAGATTTGGAACTAGCTGAGCCTTGTGAAATAAGCTATACCCAATTGTTCTCAGCACCTTCTCCAACTACTGAGCCATTCATTACCGGCAATGTGCCTTGGTAAAGAAGCCTCGCCACGCCACGCCACGTCACACCACCAATGGTCAACGCTCCCCGTCAATATCCCCTTACCTTTACCTTACCCACCCACTGTTTCCTGGCTGTTGCGATTTTTTTCAGTTGGCGATGTTACACGTACACATGTTTCCTCTGTGCGAAAATTGGCCATTTCGCTGTTCATGTTTTCTCACCAACCCAAGTTGGCTGGGGAATTATTCGAGTGGATGCTTCACTCATGAAAATGCTGCACACGCGTCCTCTCTGTTAGTCTTAGACTTCCCATAGTTCCTACCGTAGTTTCACGCTTTCGTCGGTTTCCTAGCCCTCCCCTCCATCCATTCTCCTCGTTTGCATTTCACCTTCCTTGGCGGGCCAAACCGTCGCTCTTACATTCCCCTTTCGTGCCTCCTCTAACCCTCCTTCGCCACGAAGTGACTCGTAACGAAGACAGTATCCCAGCCTAGCGACCTCCGTTCGCGAATGCATCTGATACTCTACGGCGCTTACGTGATTTGTTGTCGTCCACGAATTGATTCCGCCGGCGTAACGGCCGCGAAGGCCTGAAACCGTCAAATTAGGCCGATTGTCTGGCAAGGTTCTACTGCCAATCAAGTGGGGGGCCGCCAGGATTCTCGGGCGGTAGGGTGGTGGCAGGAGACGGCGGATGGCACACGGCATGGAGGGCGGCGGAGACTGCGGGGAGAGAGAAGTGGGGTCGTCGCGCGTCTGCATTAACGTGGGTGAGTTAGTTGGTACTCTAAAGCGTGGTAAGTGGTGGAGCATAGTGAGTGTCGAGCATGGTGAACGTGGTGATAGAGCGAGCGAGAGCCGCAATGGCGCGATGAAGCACAGCAGTATTAGACAGATTATGGTCCAGTGCTTTCTTGCACGGCTCGCCCACTCGCAACCTGAAATCTAGCAACCCCCGTATTCCCTCCTCCCTTGAAATACAAAACACTCCTCTCTCTCTCTTCTCCCATTCCTCTCCCCTCCTCTCCCCGCATTCCACTGCCTCCCTCTTCCCCCCCCCCCCCCCCCCACCCCCCACCCCCCACCCCTTCCCCTTTCCGCGCGGCGGCAGGCGGCACGTGCTACGAGACGACGGTGGAGACGGTGACGCAGCGCGACAGCGACTCCATGCTGGCCGCCATGTTCAGCGGCCGGCACACTCTGCACTACGACACCGCCAACAAGGTGCCCGCCTAACCGCACGCGTCCTTTCTGCCTCTGCTTCCCTGCCTGCTTGCCTCCCTGCCCGCCTGCCTGCCTGCCTGCCTGTCTGCCCACCTCGCGTTCCCTCCCTCTCTCGTTTCCTCTCACCCTTCCAGCTATGCGCAAACCCCACCATCCCCCCGCCCCCTCTCTCCCCCTTTCCCTATCCTCTCTCCGCCCCTCCCCGTCCCCACGAATTGTCTTATGCTGAGTGACTGTTCTTGGCAGGATGGACTCTCTTATTTGCTTCTTCTCCCCATTCCCTTACCCTCCCACCCCTCGTGAACCACTCGCATGTCTTCACCTTGTCTCCTCTCACCTCCTTCCACCTCCCCCCCTCTTCCCATCGCTTCCCAACCCCCCCGCATCGCCCTCCATCCCCCCCAATCATGCGCCATCTCCCGCCATCCTTCCCCTCCCTCCCACATCCTTCCCCATCCTCCCCTATCCTCCCCCATCCCCCCCACCCCTACCCAACCCCTCATACCGCTCCCCACCGGGCAGTCATCCGTGTTCATAGACCGGGACGGGCGGCACTTCTGCCACGTGCTCAACTGGCTGCGGGACGGCGCGGTGCCGCTGCTGGACGTGGCGCTCTTCCACGAGCTCATGCGCGAAGCCGAGTACTTCCAACTCGGGGTAGGTCTGGTTGGGTCGGTTGGCTGGGGGGCTGGCTGGGTGGTGGGTGGGTGGGCGGCCTCTGCCTCTGCCTCTGCCTCTGCCTCTGCCTCTGCCTCTGCCTCTGCCTCCTAGCCTGCAACACAAGCAACAATCAATAGAGACTCTCACTGCCTAATGATACCCTTTTTGCCGCTCCTCCCTCCCCGATCTCCCCTCTCCCCTCTCCCCTCTCCCTTCTACCCTCTACCCTCTACCCTCTCCCCTCTCCCCTCTCCCCATTTTCCTTTCTCCCCTCTGCCCTCTCTCCTCCCTCCCCTCTCCCCGCCTTCCTTTCCCTTCTCCCCATTTCCCCGTCTCCCCTCTCCCCTCTCCCTCTCCCAGTCTCTCCCCTCCCCTTCCTCTACCACTCCTCTCTTCCCCACGTCGCTGCACGTCCCCGCCACTAACGGTGCTCCATGTGCGGTGTGGGCGGTGCTGCATGCATGCATGCATGCGTGGGTGTGCACGGGGATATCATATGGCATGGCATGGCATGGCATGGCATGGCATGGCATGGCATGGCATGGGAGCAGGAGTTCCATGCGCAGCTAGTGGCCACGCTCAAGGTGGAGGACGATGACGCACCCGAGCTCACCCGCAAAGAGGTCCCTCTCTCCACCCCTTTCCTCTCCTCTCCTCTCCTCTCCAATCCTTCTCTCTCAGACTCTCTCTCACTGAATGTGTCTCACATTACCCTCTGCGCTGCCCTGCCATCCCAGCCCATGCCACACCCGCTGTTTCTTGGCATGCATGCACTACTACCCCTCTGCTTCGCCGTGTCACACTGTGTTTCTTTTCTTTTCATGCGTGCTGGTGCTGCCCATTGCATCGCCTTGGGCCTTGGCATGTTGGGAGTGGTATGAAACTGTGCATCCCACCTTCCTCCTTCCCCCTTCTCCTTGCCCCCTTTCCTTATTTTCCTCTTTCTCCAACTTCCCTCATCCTCTTTTTGGCTCCTTTGATTCCCCCCTTCCACTCCCCCATTCCCAACTTTTCACAAAAACATCCGTTCATCCTCACTCACACTCTTCTCTCACATCACACCATCCCTACGCTACCCTCTCCTCTTCCAACCTCCACAACCCCTCCAAATAACTCCCTTGTCCGTTCTCTCCTCTCTCCCTACCCACCCCCACCCACCCCCACGGTCCCCACCCACCACCAACACCTCCAACACCCACCCCACCCAACGATCTACGTGCATGTGCCGGCCAGGTGATCATGGCCATTCAGAGCAAGCGAGTGCGGTTACGAGGGGTCAACCTTAGCGGCATCAACCTCTCCAAACTGGTCCGCCTCACCCCTTTTTGCACCTCCCCACATCTCCCCACATCTCCCCAAATCTCCCCACACCTCTCCACTCCCCTCTGCACCTCTCCTCCACAGCTCCCCACACCTCCCAATTCCCGTCTTCCACCTTTCAACCTCTGCCTTCGTCATTGCACCTTCCACCTTCCATCCGTGCGTGCATCCTTTGCTGTTTCCGTGGTTCAAAGCTGGTGTCCACCCCTTTTTATTCTCTCCTGGATTGCCTTGGTCTTGGAATCGCTAACAACCTCATCCCCACCCTGCCCTCCCACCCCTCCCCTCCCCTCCCCTCCCCACCCCTCCCCTCCCTTCCCCTCCCCATCCCCCCACTACTTTCCCTCCCCTCCGCCCAACCTCCTCCCATCTCCCATCTCCCATCTCCCATCTCCCATCTGCCTATCAGCATGAATCCTAACTAAGCTCCCGTTGTTGACACCACCTGTCCTCCCCTCTCCGTTCCCCTTCCTCTCCCTCTTCTCCCCCTCTCTCTTTTCCCCTTTCTCTCCCTCTTCTCCCCCTCTCTCCTTTCTTCTCCTCCTCTCCCTCCCCTCCCTCTTTCTCCCTCCCCTCCACTCCCTTACATTCCCCTACCCTACCCTCCCCTCCCCTCCCCTCCCCTCCCCTCCCCTCCCCTCCCCTCCCCTCCCCTCCCCTCCCCTCCCCTCCCCTCCTCTCTCCTCCCATGTCTTGCGCGCCATATACCTCGCCCCTCCCCCATCCCCCATCCCCCATCAGGATCTATCGGGAGTGGACTTCAGCCTCTCGCGCCTAGTCGGCACATTCTTCCCCGGGCCGACTTTTGAGGCGCCTCAAAAGACGCCATATACCCCGCCCCTCCCCCGTGCACAATCGCCCATCAGGATCTATCGGGAGTGGACTTCAGCTTCTCGCGCCTAGTCGGCACATTCTTCTCCCGGGCCAACCTGCAGTGCGCACTATTCCGCGTGAGTCATCACACCACATTCCCCGCTGTCACCTTTCCCGCCGCTTGCCTCGCCTGTGCGCCCCTCGCCTCTGCGCCCCATAGTATGCACCACTTTTTGCACTCTCCCCCTCCGCCTTCCCCTATTCCCCCCTCCCTCCCCCCCCCGGGAGGCGGTGGCGGACGGGTGCAGCTTCCACAACGCCACACTCAAGGAGTGCGACTTTGAGCCCCTCGCTTATGCCCCCTGCACCGCCTGTGCGCCCCGTGGCATGCCCTTCTTTGCACTCTCCCCCTCCCCTTCTCCCCCCCTCCTCCCAGGAGGCGGTGGTCGACGGGTGCAACTTCCACAACGCCACGCTCAAGGAGTGCGACTTTGTTTCAAACCCTCCCCTGTCTCCCTCCATCGCCTGTGCGCCCCCTAACATACCCCGCTTTGTGCGCGCCCCTACAGGAGGCGGTGGCGGACGGGTGCAACTTCCACAACGCCACGCTCAAGGAGTGCGACTTTGAGAAGGCCACGCTGCGTGCCGCCGTGCTCTCTGCCGCCACTCTCGCCAGCGCCAACTTCCAAGGTGCACCGTCACGTGCCACCCTGCTTGCCTCATTCATTCATTCATTCTTTCGTTCGTTCGTTCATTCATTCATTCATTCATTCATTCATTCATTCATTCATTCATTCATTCATTCATTCATTCATTCATTCATTCATTCATTCATTCATTCACTCATTCACTCATTCACTCATTCACTCATTCACTCATTCATTCACTCATTCACTCATTCACTCATTCACTCATTCACTCATTCACTCATTCACTCATTCACTCATTCATTCATTCATTCATTCATTCATTCATTCATTCATTCATTCATTCATTCATTCATTCATTCATTCATTCATTCATTCATTCATTCATTCATTCATTCATTCATTCATTCATTCATTCATTCATTCATTCATTCATTCATTCATTCATTGAGACGTCTCATAAGCTGCCGAATCTGGTAGCAGTCCTCTGGTGGAACCGTTCCCCCTGTGTTCTCGTAAATGGCTTCAGTGTGTGTGTGTGCGTGCCGCTCGTGGCTTCATATGGACCATGTATGGGTTATCTGTCTGACTGGTTCTGGTTCATTGGTGGAACCGGATTACTGCGCTCTCTGCCACCCCTGTTTGTCTCTGGTGCGGACCGTTGAGCGGGGTGTTGAGTGGGGCGTTGCGTGGGGCGTTGCGTGGGGTGTTGCGTGGGGTGTTGAGTTAGTTGCAACCATCAAACGAACTAACCCACCAACCCACTAACCAAGCTGCTAACCATGCAACCAACCAGTATATGCAACCCAACAGCCAAGCAACCAAGTCCTTTACATTCTCTTTGTTCCCTATTTTCACTCTGTGTGCTCTCTGCATGCTCTCTGTGTTCTTTTTGCATGCTCTCTGCATGCTCTCTGCATGCTCTCTGCATGCTCTCTGCATGCTACCTCTGTGCTCTGCATGCTCTCTCTGTGCTCTCTCTGTTCCCTCTCTGTGTCTATGCAGACGCGTGTCTAGTGGATGCGAGTCTGTGTGGGGCGGACCTACGATCAGCGCACTTGCAGGTGACTCCGCCGTCCCCTACTACCCTACCGCGTTGCACTGGTTACCACAGCACTTGTCTCGCGGTGCTCACTGCTCAATGCTCAATGCTCACTGCTCACTGCTCAATGCTCAATGCTCAATGCTCACTGCTCACTGCTCAATGCTCAATGCTCACTGCTCACTGCTCAATGCTCAATGCTCACTGCTCACTGCTCACTGCTCAATGCTCAATGCTCACTGCTCACTGCTCAATGCTCAATGCTCACTGCTCACTGCTCACTGCTCAATGCTCAATGCTCACTGCTCACTGCTCAATGCTCACTGCTCAATGCTCAATGCTCAATGCTTACTGCTCACTGCTCAATGCTCAATGCTCACTGCTCACTGCTCAATGCGCAATGCTCAATGCTCACTGCTCACTGCTCAATGCTCAATGCTCACTGCTCACTGCTCAATGCTCACTGCTCAATGCTCAATGCTCACTGCTCACTGCTCACTGCTCACTGCTCACTGCTCACTGCTCACTGCTCAATGTTCACATTTGAAATCCATTCCCTTTCACCCACCCATCTCCTCCCCACCCTACCTTATCACACGCCCACTCTCCCCCACACCCCATTTTTCCTATCATGCACCCCATTTTTCGGCCTCTTCCACTCCTTTCACCTTTTCCGTGCCTTTCCTTGTGTTTTCCTCCCACTCTCTCTGTTGAACCAGCCGCTATGCCCCCATCACCTGGTCACTGATTCACATTATCTAATTCCTCCCCCATCCCATCACGCCTACAAACCCCTTTTACGAACCCCTCCCTTCCTGTCTTCCCTTCACTCGTTCCCCTCTCTTCTCGCTTCTCCTGGCTGATTCCCCTCGCTCCTTCTCCACCTCGTCGCCTCAGTACTTCTCATCCCCACTTGTCCTCAATCCTCCCTTCAGCTCTACACTCATATGCTGCTCCTATGTGGCAGAACGCAGATCTGACAAATGCCAACCTGTCCTTTGCTTATCTGGAAGGCGACTTTTGAGTCGACTCAGAAGTTCTCTCCTTTCCTCTTCCTCACGCATCCCCCCATCTCCTCACTGTCCGCTGCTCCTATGTATGTCGCAGAACGCAGATCTGACAAATGCCAACCTGTCCTTTGCTTATCTGGAAGGCGACTTTTGAGTCGACTCAGCAGTTCTCTCCTTTCCTCTTCCTCACGCATCCCCCCATCTCCTCACTGTCCGCTGCTCCTATGTATGTCGCAGAACGCAGATCTGACAAATGCCAACCTGTCCTCTGCTAACCTGGAAGGCGCTAATCTCAAAGTGAGTGCCGCATGCCATGCACATGCTATTCACATGCCATCCACATTTCATTTACATGCTATCCAAATTCGATGCACTTGCTGTACATTTGCTATCCCGATGACATGTACGTTTTGTCTACATGCCATTCACACATCATTCAGCTTCAATTTATGCACATCATATCCACATGCCACCATTGATTCCGTCCGAGCACTGTTCTTCGCTCGTGCATTCGCATATCCCTGTAGATGTGCATGTCCATGCTATGCCATGCATGTCAATACCCCGTTCTTTTTTCAGTGTATTATCATCCGTTTCGCGCTCCACAACCACACGTGCGCCCGCAGCACATTAAGCAACTCTTCTTCTCATCCCGCACCCGTTCCTAGATTCCTCATGCCAGCCCTTCATTATTTCCTTGCCTTTCATCTCCTCCTCCCTTCCAAATTCTCCTTTTTACCTCCGTGCACGTGTGTTCCACAATCCCTTCCCCTCTCCCTGCTTTCTTTCTCCCCCCTTCTCCCCCTCACGCCCGTGTCTTATTGCCTGCTCTCCTTCCCCGTGTGCATCAGGGAGCCAAATTGAATGGGGCAAACCTAGAGGGGGCGAATCTGCAAAGGGCATACTTGCGAGGGGTGGACTTGAGAGACACGGTGAGTGGGAGATGTGGGAATGCAGCAGAAAGGAGAGAACATATGGGAAGAAGAGAGGCAGACAGGACATGAAGTGCATGTGAGGTCGAGGGTGGAACGAGTGGGTGGGTGAGTGAGTGGTTTGAGTGGGTGAAATGACATGTATGTTAGAATATGTGTGCCTTTTTTTCTACACGCAGCTCTCACTAGCCCTGCTCTTTGTCGTGCCTGTTGTTGTTGCGTGCCGTGTTGCATGCCGTGTTGCATGCCGTGTTGCATGCCGTGTTGCATGCCGTGTTGCATGCCGTGTTGCATGCCCTGTTGCATGCCCTGTTGCATGCCGTGTTGCATGCCGTGTTGCATGCCGTGTTGCATGCCGTGTTGCATGCCGTGTTGCATGCCGTGTTGCATGCCGTGCTGCATGCCGTGTTGCATGCCGTGTTGCATGCCGTGCTGCATGCCGTGTTGCATGCCGTGTTGCATGCCGTGTTGCATGCCGTGTTGCATGCCGTGTTGCATGACGTGTTGCATGCCGTGTTGCATGCCGTGTTGCATGCCGTGTTGCATGCCGTGCTGCATGCCGTGTTGCATGCCGTGTTGCATGCCCTGTTGCATGCCGTGTTGCATGCCGTGTTGCATGCCGTGTTGCATGCGGTCAGATGCTAGGAGGAGCGAACCTCTTTGGCGCAAACCTGCAAGGGGCCACTCGTGGAAACTAGACCAATAAATGTAAATGCCAACAGCAGCAGCGGCTTCAATGAAACTGCAAGCAATGATTGCATCGAGCAGACAACCGTGCTATGTTGCCATCTCGATGCAATGCAAGCATGCAGACTTTGTATGTTAAATGTGTACAGTACATATACGGTAGTAATTCCACCATGCGTTTCTATTGTTCTGCTTTCAGTTGACATACGGGCAAGGGTGGTGTAAATTGTTAAGAGTGTCGAGAGAAAGTGCACTAGCAGTGGGATGAGGGTACACAAGTACAAATTGTTATACTCTTTATTGTCTAGCCTATAATACAACATGAGAAAAAAAAAATAACAAAAAAAAAATTACAGATTGTAATTCGATTTGAAGAGGGTGAGAAGAAACAAGGAATGAATGAACTATGAATGAATTGGGTACAAGTAGTAACCCTAATTGGGTTGTACCCCTTATGGGCTACCCCACTATAGCCTACACAATATGCATGAGCTATAATGTTCTGACACACCCCCATAGGCAAAATGGGGGAGAACAAGGGGTCACAAGACCAGTCAAGTAAAGCAAAGCAAAGCAAGCTCAGGGTGGATCACAAAGTCACCACACATTCCGAGCACAAGTTCAAGGCCACAAGGCCAGTTCACATGCAGGAGTACATATATATATAAAGGCTAGACAAGCAAGAGCAGGTATATATATATGTAACAGCACAAGCAAGGTCAAGAGGTAAGCAAGTGAGGCAAGGTAGGCACAAGGCCCAGCTGAGTACAGAAGCGCTGATGGTCACAAGGCGCAAGCGCCTTGGTGAAGATATCAGCAGTGTTGGCCTCAGAGGCCACGTACGCAAGACGCAGCTGACCACGCTGCTGCAGCTCACGAGCAAGAAAGTAGCGGAGAGCAATGTGCTTCGTTCTGTGCTCCAGTCGCTGCTCCCGACACAAGGCCAGCATGGCCTTGTTGTCTACGTACATCACTGGAGGAGAACGAGGCAGCTCTCCGAGGTCAGTCAGCAGGTAGGTGAGCCAGGGAAGCTCCTGTGCAGCCATGGCTCCTGCGTAGATCTCAGCCTCACAACTGGAGCCGAGAACAGAAGACGAGCGGGTAGCCCGCCACGAAACAGAGCCGGAACCAAGGCTGAAGGTGTAACCCTGTGACGACCGCTGCGTAGCCTGGTCGTCAGCCCAAGAAGCGTCTGCGTGCCCAGTAAGGACCACTGGACTCTGCCCTCCAAGCACAAGCCCCATGCCCGACGTACTGCACAAGTAGCGCAACACCCTCTTCGCTGCAGCCATGTGCTCCGGTCTGTGTCTCCCAGGAGCAACATAGCGTGCAAGAATGCTAAGAGGGTATGCAAGGTCAGGTCGTGTGCAGGTCATCAGGTACATGAGGCAGCCAACAAGCTCTGGGTACGGGCCACTCGACTCTACGGACTCATCCGAAGGCAGAGCTGAGAGCGAGTGGCGAGTAGGCAGAGGAGTGGCCTGAGGCGAGGAGTACGTGAAGCCGAAGCGCTGAAGGACCTGCTGCACCATGTGTGACTGAGTCAGGGTAATGGTGCGGCGTGCTCTGTCCCGAGTGATCTGCAAGCCAAGGTAGCTGCGCAGTTCACCCAGGTCAGTGCACGTGTGTCTCTTCTGCAGCTCGGACTTCACGTGGGCTAGTCCAGCAGTGTCAGCTGTGGCAAAGACCAAGTCGTCGACGTACACGAGGATGTAGAACGGCGGCAAAGAAGTGTCGGTGCGCAGAAACAGCGACGGGTCGGCAGTAGAGGGAGCAAACCCAAGAGCCGCAAGTGTAGTCCTCAGTGTGTCGTGCCACTCACGCGGTGCCTGGCGGAGACCGTAGACTGGCCGCCGTAGGCTCCACTGGGTGCCAGGAGGAAAAGACCCAGTGAAGCCAGGTGGGCGACGCAGCCAGATCTCCTCGTGCAGGCTGCCCTGCAAGAAAGCAGTGCTGAAGTCAAGAGAGTGTAGCTCGTAGTCACGGTGAGCAGCTACGTGCAGCAGTACCCGAAGAGTGGTCATCTTCGGGGTGGGAGAGAAGGTCTGAAAGTAGTCAACTCCCTGCCGCTGACTGAAGCCACGAGCCACGTAACGCGCCTTGAAGACAGGCGGAGAACCCCGCGGTCGCTTCACCCTGAAAATCCACATGCCACTGACGATGTTCGCCCCAGGAGGGGGAACAGCGTCAACGTAGGTGCCTGTGGACTTCCAGGAAGCCATCTCTGCGTCCATAGCTGCCTGCCACTGAGAGGAGTAGGGACCCTCTATCGCCTCCGCGTAGGAGCGCGGAGTCGGGATGTCAAGTGCATCCGGGTCTCCCTCAGGGGTAAGCAGTACGGACACGAGATGAGGTGAAGCAGTGGCCAAGCACTGGAACTCCTCCTGCCTGTCCTCAAGGACGTCCGTGCCAAGGGCACACTCACCCCCGACGGACGGAGGACAGACAGACTCAGACTCAGCAACAAGACTGGCGACGTAGTCTAGGCGACAGCGAGCAGCAAAGTCGACGAGCTCAGCAACTAGGGCAGACGCAGCAGTGGACTCAAAGGAAGGGTCAGTGACAACAGTAGCAAGGAGACGCGTGACAGTAGGACTGGCAGCACGAAGAGAGTCCGACTCCGGGTCGGCAAGAGCAGGAAGAGAAGACTCAGGAGGAGAAGGCAAAGGGGCACGCAGAGGAGCAGTGGACGGACGCAGAGACATCCGGTGCGTGCCAGGGACAGGAGGAGGACGCTGACGCGAACCACGACCACTAGTGCGAGCAGCACGGACAGGCGACGCAGGGCGAGACGCAGGCTCACGACGCTCAGCAAGACCTCCAGTAGGACCAGTGTAGGGAGACGGAGCAGGCAGTGGGAAGGCCGGCTGTAACTGTAACTGCGACGGGACAGGCTGTGGATACTCTAAGGGAGGAGGAGGACCAGTAGAAGGCGGGAGACCAAGAACCTGCTGAAGGAGCGGAACGAAGTACGGCCAAGGCCGCGCGGCGACTCCAGACACAGCAGGGACAGCACCAGTACCCCCAGCGGCAGCACCAGCGCCAGCAGCACCTCCAGCTCCAGCACCTCCAGCTCCAGTACCTCCAGCAGCACCAGCACCCCCAGTGGCAGCACCAGCACCAGTAGCAGCTCCAGCTCCAGAACCCCCAGCAGCACCAGTAGTACCCCCAGCAGGACCGCCTCCAGGACCGACAGCAGTAGCCTCCGCGCCAACACCCGCAGCAACTCCAGCTCCAGAAGTACCCGCAGGTCCAGCAGCTCCAGTACTCCCAGTACGAGCACCACCGGGACCCGTGGCACCAGCTCTCTCAGCAGCAACAGAACCTCCAGTACCCGCAGCACCTCCAGCTCCAGCAGCTCGCCTCCAGCGCCGGGCAAACCACTCACGCAGCTCCTGGGGAGAGAGTGGCTCCCGGCGAGAAGGAGCACCCGGAGAACCGCCAGGCACAGCACCACCAGGCGTAGCACCCCCAGGCTCAGTACCTCCAGGCGTAGTACCCCCAGGCTCAGCACCCCCAGACGCAGCACCCCCAGGCTCAGCACCTCCAGGCGTAGCACCCCCAGGCTCAGCACCCCCAGACGCAGCACCCCCAGGCTCAGCACCCCCAGTCGTAGTACCCACACGCTCAGCACCCCCAGAGTCAGCACCCCCAGGCTCAGCACCCTCAGCAGCACCAGAGTCACCAGTGACCTCGACAGGCTCAACAGCGTCTACCTGGGACACACCTGAAGGGGCAGGACCCTGAGGGGGGAGGGGGTCTACCGGGGGGGGACCTGGTACAAGGAAGAGCGGTGGCGGGGGGAGGGACGGAGTGCGGTAGGGGAAGAGGCGGTAGTAGGGGACCGACTCGTCGAACGTGACGTCCTGGGAGGACAGAACACGGCGAGAGGTGGGGTGGTAGAACTGCCACCCTGGGGCGTCAGGGGGGAAACCCAGGAAGACGCAAGGAGCAGCACGAGGGGACAGCTTGTCCGCAGACAAGTCGCGGACAAACGCCCGAGATCCCCAGACACGGAACGCAGACGCATCGCCAACCTTCCCCGTCCACAGCAAGGCTGGGGAGGTCTCCGGCATGGAGAACCTGGGCTGAAGGTTGAGCTGATGCGCCGCGTACCGAACCGCAAACGGCCACAGAAAATGGGGGGCAGCCGCATGCATCATGGACGTACGGGCGACGTCCATGACCATGCCAATGCGGCGCTCAGCAATCCCATTTTGCTGTGGAGAGTCCGGAAGCGTGAAGGTCTGGCGGATGCCTCGTGCACGACAGTAGGCTCGCAGAAGGCCAGAGGAGAACTCTCCGCCTCTGTCAGAGTGCAGACGCAGAACAGGAAAGTCCGAGCCGAAGCTCTGCCTGAGCTGGAGACGAGCTGCGCGGATCCAGTCGATCAACACCTCAGTGACATCACCCTTGCTGCGCAAGGGGAATACTGTGGTGTAACGCGAGTAGTCGTCAACCACCAGCAGGAAGTAGTGCTCGTGACCCTGTCCACGGACGCGGGCCGGGCCCCACACGTCCATGTGAAGCGTCTGCAGCGGGGCCTCTGTCGGAGGAAACTGGGAGGAGTGAGGGGCAGCCCGCTGCCGCCCCTCGACACAGGGGACGCAGGTAGGGCCAGGCCCCGGAGGAAGGGGAGGGAGGGACCGGGGAAGACCAGAGACAAGGACACGGGAGGCCATGCTCCGGAGACGAAGCAGGGAGGGGTGACCAAGGCGGTGGTGCCAGAGGAGAGTCTCGTGAGACAGGAGGCGACACGAGCAGGGGGCAGACTCAGGACCAGACCTGGACGCTGCAGCAAACACCTGACCCGACGCAGCTACCTGACCAGACGCAGGGACTGGGGGAGACGCAGTGGTCAGTGTGTACAGGCTCGACCCCGGCCGACGTGTAAACGTGGCCAGGAGTCGGCCTGTCCGAGCGTCCGTGCAGTGGGTCACCCG